CCCCCCCCCCCCCCCCCGGCAATTCTCATGAAGATAAAAGTAGAAGAAAAGGAAGCACATTTAAACTTGCAAGATTCTACTACTATAGCTGTTCTGATAAAAGTAGCTTTAGACCTACACAGTGTCTGTTTCTTAGTCTGGCCTATTTTACAGGGCTGAAGCCGCCTAACAACATATAACTGATTAAATCAAGGAATATTAAGCAATATACAACATAAAAGGCAGAGTTTAGTCCAGAAGCCACAATCCCCAGAGGGCCACTCCTGTACCTCAGAATTATATCCCCCAAAAAATAAGCCACAAAAAAAAGATGGTTTGTGGAGTGAGTGCTGTAGAAGAGAGAAGATAGGACTTGATGGGGCAGGAGACAAATGAAAAGCAAGAGAGAAAAGAAATATTACCAGGCCTTCCAAATGATTCTTTCCAGAGACTGGGTGAAAGGTTATTTATTTAATTTCGTAAGAAAAATAGAACTGTTTGCAGAATGGCATAGTTTATGGTCACATTACAGATTAAACCTTACTTAGGCCATACTTAATTCCTCACAAAATCAACTCTCTTGACAGTTATTTCAAAAGAACATCATTAGTAAATCTCTTAATTCTCCTTTTGGAAATGGCCTTTGAATCCATGGATTCAGTCTATGCATAAAGGAACTTTCAGTATAAGAGAAATATCGGCCTCGTTCCACATGGCTGACTGTCTTTAGAGCAATAAGAAGGAGAGCCCTTGACAAGCACTTCTGCCTTGGCGCTGTGCACAGATTGATCTTGTAATCATCACTGGACAAGATTATTTCTGTATGTCTTGTCAAATGTCAGTTCGCCCTATTCCTAAAAGTAAGCAGAGAAGAGAATAATTCAACTAACTCATAAGCAGTACGATTCTAGCCTTTTTGAAGCATCCTACTAATATTTGAATTGCACATATACCTTTCTCCAAGTGTTCATATGTATAGAATGAATTAAACAATATTTTGTACACAAATACAACAGAAGGATGGGTTATATTTTATGTGTGCCATTGGGGAGTGGAGCGACAGTGGTGCTTAAAAGTGTGTGAACCCTTTTGAATTTTCAATTTTTCTGCATAAACGTGACCTAAAATGTGACTTGTTCTCCACACAAGTCCTAAAACTAGATAAAGAGGACCTAATTAAATGAGTCAAAAACATTACACTTGTCCATGCATTGAGTATTTAATTTTTGAAGTCGTTAGCATATTTCTGAATATTTTTAATATTTAAAATGTTAAACTTGTTAATGGCTGATGAAACATCATTTAGACAAATTCTTTGTTATTAAGAAGTCTTGGGGAATAAATATTCTTTTTCCCTTTTAATCTCTTGTTTGTTTTTTTCTTTAAACACAAAAGAAACAAAAACACTAAAAGCTAAGGATGAGGAAAGGGTGCAGTTTCCTTTTCATAGATGAAATGGTACTTAAAAAGATAACATATAGATGGAGCATGTCCTCTTATCATGCTAATGGATCTATTGCATATATGCATTACAAACATATTCCTTGTATGTTTGCCAAGTTTTATTTTTCATCCTTTTCACTCTTCTGCTCTGATGTTTTCTTCCTGAAATTTCAAGAGATGTTTAAAGTTGATTACATGTATCATCTAAACATATAAAATAATTATATAGGGTATATAACAGTTTAGCCTTTTTACTTGCTTCTACTAAAAAGACTATCAGCTTTTGCAGACATGATCAAAAACTGATATAAACACACAAATGTAAATGAAGTACATGCACATATCCAAACAGAAATTCTATGAATTGTGCATTAAATTCATAGGATCATATTACTCCAAAACTTGAAAATAATGTTGATCCTATAAAATGTGATTTTAAAAAAATGATTGCTCTATTATTGGATTCTTCCAATGATTAGAAAGTTCACTTACAAAAAGGAATGCATTACTATATTGCACAACTTTATTGATTTGACTAAGTATACAGATCTGGCTGTCCCAGGAGATCAAGCCTAAATGTAGTCTGCGTTGGGAGTTTCACATATTCACATGACTGACAAGGGCAGTTTGTCTTGCAAAGTAAAGTAAGTGAGGTCTGTGCATGGATAGTTCACATGAAGAGAATGGCTAGGATCAAGCTGGATATACTATTTCAGTCCAGTCGCTTATTCAGAAATTCACAGTATGCAAAATTTAAGAGAAGTTTCTCCTTGTAGCCTAAACACATTTATTTGCAAGTCCTATTCTTGTAATTGGAATGTATTGCCAATGAATAGTGGAAACAAGGTTTATTTAAAAAAAATTTCAATCCGGTAAAAGGCACTGCTTTTGTCTAATCTCTTGTCTGTTTTATGAAAGTACAGCACAGTATCCATAATAAAGACATCTGTATGAATTTAAATGCATTTTTATAAGGATCAGAAAATTCTTTTAACTAATAGGATATGAATTAAACAGTGAATAAAAAGACTAAGATATAATTACATTTCTTTTTCCATTCAATCGTGTCTAATTCTCAGAGACTGCCTGGACAAGTCCCTGCAGTTTTCTTGGCAAGGTTTTTCGGAAGTGATTTGCCATTGTCTCCTTCCTAGGGCTGAGAGAGAGTGACTGGCCCATGGTCAACCAACTGGCTTTGTCCCTCAGGCAGGACTAGAACTCATGGTCTCCCAGTTTCTAGCCTGATTTCTTAACCACTACATCAAACTGGCTCTTTTTATAATTACAATATGAAATCACAAAATGGAAATAAAAGTTATGTGAAATTTAGCTCAAAATTTCATCCCAGGACATGACTGGAAGTTAACTTTTTAAGTAAAATAAACCTGGATCTGGTCAGTGTACATGCGTTGGAAACCATGCACCTTTTCTTGTGTTCCAGACACGAAAGAAGATCAGATAAAAGTATAGTAAATAATGTTTTAAAATTATCATTTGGCTGAGACAAAGCAGTAGTCAACCACTTCTCTAAGACTGCCAAGAAAACAGCCTGGGTACAGCCACTCAGAGCTTTGCTCAACTCATCTGTACCTTACAGTTAATTTAGAATTGAGAAAATAAAATATACCTCTGCTTGTAATTGCTGTTTACTTTCCCAAGGGACTTCTTGGTCTCTATTTCAGAGCTTATTACTTTATGTGTTTACCGTAACATTTGCTTATATGCATGTTAGGCTGAAAGCAGAGAATGTTTATCCTAGTTCATGAAGTATTGTTATGTGATGCTTTTTCATTTATAAGCAGATCAGTTTAGATCAATTTGAACAACAAGAACAAAACGTGCCATGGATGTTGTGGTATCAGATCAATTCAATATTACAAAATAAAACACTCATGGAGATTGCAAATAGAAAATTGTTCTTTTTGGAAAATTAATTAATGTAAAAATTAATGTTAATGTTTTTTTTCCCCAGAACATAGAGGTATAATTTCAAAAATGTACCGGATTTTATTTGAAATAGATTATGGCAAATTTGCCACAAGGCTAAAAGAAGTATGAGACTCTGATTCAGAGTAACAGTTAGATGATAATATTTGGCAGTCTCTGTGGCAGCATGAGGGATTCGTATCAGCATCTGTGCAGAAAATATACCTTAAACTTTTACATTGGTGGCATCAAACTCTGTGTGTGTGTATATGTGTGTGTGTGTATTTTCAATGAGTTGCTGGTGAGACTGTACATTTCACCTCTGGGGGAAATGTAATAAAATTTAATACTGTAAAAGTTTTAGAATTTTGGAAGAGGATGTTTAATAAAATGTCATATACAAACAGAACATTGAATAATTTCCAAAGTTATGCTTGCTGCAAAGTAAACTATTTAGTTTCTACATCTGGCAGCCAAATTAGTTATTGCTAAACAATGGAAATATCAGATAATTGCTCAGTGGATAGATGGCAATATAAGATCTGGTATATAGCTTTTCTTGAGAAAGCTTCTAATAAAAGCCAATATATTGCAAGGCAAA